ATTTCGGTGAAACGTCGCAGGATATTTCGGCCATTGCCAGCGAGTCAGGCAGGGCCGCCACGGAGCAAGTCGCTCCCGAGTTGGGCGCGGAGCAGTTATAGTCAGTGGTCAGGTCTTCCCCCGCGAACGCCAGGTGGAGGAGGGAGGAGGGAGCGGGAGGAGGAGGAGGAGGAGGAGGAGGAGGAGGAGGAGGAGGAGGAGGAGGAGGAGAGGAGGAGGAGGAGGAGGAGGAGGAGGAGGAGGGAGGAGGGAGGAGGGGAGGAGGGAGCAGGAGGGAGGAGGAGGAGGAGGAGGAGGAGGAGGAGGAGGAGGAGGAGGAGGAGGAGGAGGTGGATGTCCTCACCCCAACGGACCTCCAGAGGCCCCATGCTCGCTGGCCAGATTCTGCTCCTGAAGCTGCGCGGTTCCATTGAGGGTTGAGCTGTTTGGCCTCCCCATGTCTTCCCCTCGACTGGTACGTCTTTGCCGAAATCCTGAGGAGAGGAGAGTATCCAGAGGCCCCATGCTCGCTGGCCAGATTGAGCTCCTGGAGCTGCTCGATTCCATTGAGGGTTGAGCTGTTTGGCCTCCCCATGTCTTCTCCTCGACTGGTACGTCGTTGCCGAAACTCTGAGGAGAGGAGAGCTTCATCGGGCTATTTCCTGGGACCACGAAAGTCCAGTCGGGCCTGTCCCTCTACAGCTGGGGTAGTCAAACATAGTATAAGAAAATACTCTGGGGCGTTTTGAATTGTTTTGTTTTTAACAGTTCTTGGTTATGCTTGAGTTTTTTTCGCCCAACATCCTCCTGTACGGGGGCAGGTGTGACCCAACGCGAAAGTTTGGTTCAGGATGAGGTGCGGCCTGACCCCTCAGTTGTCTCAACCCTTGGAGGTGGCTTCTGGGACACCGCCACTGCTGGCTGTTGAGCTTTGCAGGCGCCTGCGTTGCAGTCCTTGCTCGACGGGGCGGCAGCGAGGGGCGGTTTGGCGTCTGACACCCTCTCTCTGGACTTCGACAAGTTTGCAGCAGAGTTCCTTGGGTCTTCTAGGCCGCGCCGCTTCGCTGTTGCAGTTCCCCGCCATCTGGCAGGAGTCTGGAAATCCAGCTGCGCGCTGCCCCCCCGCTTGCTTCGAGTGCAGCAGGGGTCTCAGATACCACATGGCAGACTCGATCCTGGGTGGCGGGCTCTCCCCGCGGAGCGATAGCGGCAACATTTATCTTGCGCCCTCTTTTGGAGGCCGTTCACGGCAACGCAGCCTTTGCATCATTCTGGCTTTCAATGACGACGCGGCTCTTCGCGTCGAGGTAACGGAGGTTATTGTTGATCAAGGGATCAAGCGTTCGCATTTGGCGCTTCAGGAGGAGGTTTCCAAGGGGCGCCTCGTCCCCTCTGGCAAGACCGTGCTCATGCCCTCCTCTAGCAGCATTGGTATTCGTGTCAGCGAGGTCTCCAGCACCGAGGTGTGTCTGCCAGCTTTGAAATGACAGGCGACGATTTTTGGGCTGGCGTCAGCGCAGGCAGGATTCCAGCGGTTGCCGAATCTAGTCTCCGCATCAAAGCATTGAGCCGTAGAACGGCCAGGATTTTTAGGATTAGGAGTAGCGCCTTTCGGGATGAAGGAGGTTTGCCGGGGGCCCTGGACCTGCGACGCATTGCCTTGAGGTTCACATGGCCGCCATGGTCAGGGGCTAGTTCCAAGCAGCGTTTTGAAGCTCTGCGGGCAGGCAGCCGCGCGTGCTCGCGGCAGGGTAAGGCGCAATCGTGCCAACACATACTTCATGGGACTTCAACGCTACAGATCAGCGCGACTGTTGCGTCCTGGCGATCTGACCTCGTGCCAGCGCACTATTCTTGGGACTTTCGCACCGCGACTCAATGTGAGTGCTGCATCCTTGCAGTTTTCTATCACAACAGCTGGGACTTCATCCATGCGAGTCCTTGCAGCGGGCGCACAACTGTTCAGACGAATGTGCGTGGCGCTAAGGCGAGAGCCACAGTTTGAAGACCCTCTGTCCTCTTTTCGTGAAGCGGCTGCACACTTTTGTACCGAAGGCGCGCGGCGCTAGGGCGGGAGGCGCATTTAGAAAGGACCCGCCCTCCATCCGTGAAGCGGTTGCACATGTTAAAAGTTTCAGGGTCATACATGGTGCGGAAGTATTGGGTAGGAGTATGAGGAGGAGGAGATAGGGGCTAGCGAGGAGATGAGAGCGAGCAGAGGAGGAGAAACAAAAAGGAGGGGATAGGGGCGAGCGAGGAGGAGGAGCAGGAGGAGGAGGAGGAGGAGGAGGAGGAGGAGGAGGAGGAGGAGGAGAGGGGGCGAGCGAGGAGAAAAGGAGGAGGAAGAGGTGGAGCTGGAGGAGGAGGAGGAGGAGGAGGAGGAGGAGGAGGAGGAGGAGGAGGAGGAGGAGGCGAGAGTGCGAGCGAGCCCTGGAGGGGCGCGCCCACGCCGAGGACGCACGCGGTGCCGCAGCACCTGCCACCGCACCAGCTGGCGCAGCCGCCGCAGCAGATGCCGCAGGCATCCGGTCGTCGTCGTCGTCGGCGGCGGCGTTGTCCTCGTCGGCGTCGTCGATCGTCGTCGTTGTCGATCGTCGATCGCCAGCCTCGTTGTCGTTGTCGTCGTCGTCGATCGTCGATCGCCAGCCTTGTTGTCGTCGTCGTCGTCGTCGTTGTCCTCGTCGTCGTTGTCGATCATTGATCGCCAGCCTCGTCGTCGTCGTCGTCGTTGTCCTCGTCGTCGTTGTCGATCATTGATCGCCAGCCTCGTTGTCGTCGTCGTCGTCGTTGTCCTCGTCGTCGTCGATCATTGATCGCCAGCCTCGTTGTCGTCGTTGTCGATCGTCGATCGTCGATCCCGCGGCCAGCCGTCGCCTGCGTCGAGGTCGACGCCGTCGTCGACGTGGTCTTTGACGCTCTTGGGCGTCTTCTGTGGTTCCCGAAGTCCGGGCCTCCCAGATGGGGCCGAAGTGGATGGGCTCGGAGGATCGCGCCGCATCGCCGCTGCATCGGTGATGCGTGTTGCTGTTGAGCCCGATGTTCTCCACGCCGACGGTGCCGATGCGTCGCCCCACGCCGCCGGTGCATCGCCAGTGCATCGCCGATGCGTTGGCGATGCGGCGCAAGCCTCCGACGACTTCCAGTCGGATCCAGTTGCAGAGGCCCCTGCAGAGGTTGCTCGGCCTCGGGTCGGAGGGGGGAGATGCGACACCAGCACTACCAGGGGGCCCACCTCCAGCGAGGAGGTCCACGATGCCTCCCAGAGCTGGAGGCTGGGGACGTCTCGAGCGAGAGGAGGGGGCCACACCACCAGGGAGACGCCCCCTTTGCTCCTCGCACCTCCTCGCCCTGTTGGTGTTGGTGTCGCCTTGTTCCTACTCGGGGTGCCTTCCTGCAGCTGCGCCTCGCCGAGGGCGCTCCGGGCGTGCTCCCGGAGCGCCCCAATGGGGGCCCCTCGCAGGCCCGAGGCACTGCCCGGGCGCGGTGGCCCCCCCTTCGCGCGTCTCGCCTCCTCGGCGTGCCTCGAGGATCCGCTCGGCAAAACTATACATCGGGCCTGTCCCTCTACAGGAGGAATGTTCAAAATATTAACGAAAAATAGTCTGGGGACGATTTTTTTTGTATTTTTGACTATTTGGGGGTGTCTTTTTTTTGGTAACTAATTTTTTCAAACTATTTTTAATTTGCCCTCCAAAATCCCCCTGTAGGGGGACACGCCCGACTTAAAACTGGTCAGGATGATCCCCAGGCTCAGTATCCTTGAAGCGATCCCCATCCCCATCCCCATCCCCTTCGAGACCCCCACCAAATCACAACCCCAGTGTGGATACACCCCTCGACACCCGCAGGGAGCGACCTCTATCCCCATCTAGGGAATCTAGGGGGGTAAGTCGGCCAGCGGGGCCCAGGCCACGCCGCTGGGGATGGGGATTGGTTCAACGATGCTCACAGGAGAGGTCCGGAGACCGATTTGAAAGGAGTTGGCCCAGTCGTCGGCCGACAACCATTCACGGTACCTGGGTGCGCGGTTGCGGTGGGATTCCGAGGTGCGGATTGTCGTTGGTTGTTGTTGGTTGGTTGGTTGGTTGGTTAGTTGGTTGGTTGGTTGGTTGGTTGGTTGGTTGGTTGGTTGGTTGGTTGGTTGGTCGGTGGTTGTTGTTGTTGTTGTTGTTGTTGTTGTTGTTGTTGTTGTTGTTGTTGTTGTTGTTGTTGGTTGTTGGTTGTTGGTTGTTGGTTGTTGGTTGTTGGTTGTTGGTTGTTGTTGTTGTCGTTGAATTCTCATTTCTGAAGAATAATTATTATTGATCCCCCCCACCGGTGCATACTGTTTTTTCTCCATCCAAGTGTGCCCCTCGACGCTCGCACCCTGTTTTTTGACACGGGAAGTCTTCCTGCTCAAACTGGCCCCTTGTCCCCCGGGTTACAACAACAACGGCTCCCGCTTGAGACTTCCCCACAATTTAGCCAGGACCCCCGCTCCCGCCCGAGACTTCCTCTCATTTTCTTCAGGAATCGCGCGCTCGCTTGGGACTTCCTTACAATTTATTCAGGAATCGCTCTCCCGGCGCTCTGGAGTCGCGCTCTCGCTGGAGATTTGCTTGCAACTTACTGAAGAAAGGCCTTGCGTTAAAATTTCCTGCAATTTGCTCAAGCGCCGCGCTCCCGACACCCAGTCAAACAGGAGTCGCGCCCGTTGTGGCCCCATGTGCATGCCCTTAGTGGCCCCGCTGTCACCATTTGTGTCCCCCTCACTGTCCTACGTGGCCCAGTTGTTACCCTCAGTGGCCCCATAGTTGCCTTCTGTGGCCCCGCATTATCTGCAATTCGTGGCCCCCGCTCGTTCGCGCTCTTCGTGGCACCATACACATTCCCTTCGTGTCCCCGCTGTCGCCCTTCGTGGCCTACTTCATGCCCTTCGTGGCCCTGCTGCCGTTCTCTCTCGCTCTCGCTTTCGCTCGTCGTCGCCGTCGTCGTCGTCGTCGCCGTCGTCTTCGACGTCGTCGTCGTCGGTCCCCTGTCCGTCCCTCTTGGGGTCGGGTCGACGGTCCGCGGCCGCCCCGCCGATCAGCGCTGCCGCTGGCCAGGCCGACGGTCCGCGGCCGCCCCGCCGCTTGCAGGGGCCCAGCCTGCAGGGAAGAAAGGTATACCCCCCGAAAGGGATTCGATCGAAGACGAAAGGGCGGGTATCGAGGGTTTGGGAAGTACGCGTTATTCGACACTCGAGCATTTGAGGGTGAACAGTCTTAAAATTATTATTGCTGTTGTTGTTGTGGTTGTGGTTGTGGTGGTTGTGGTTGTGGTTGTGGTTGTGGTGTTGGTTGTGGTGGTGGTTGTTGTCGATGTTGATGTTGTGGTTGTTGGTGTTTTGGTTTTGGTTGGGGTTGGTGTTGGTGTTGATGGTGTTGATATTGTTGTTGTTGTTGCTGTTATTGTTGTTGTTGTTGTTGTTGTTGTTAGAATTCGTGCTAGTGTTCGTGTTCGTGTTGTTGTTGTTCGTTGTTGTTGTTGCTGTTGTTGTTGTTGTTGTTGTTGTTGTTAGTGTTCGTGCTAGTGTTGTTGTTGTTGTTGTTCGAATTCGTTGAATTTCCATTACTTACGAAAGAGTATTGTTGATCCCCCCTCCAGTGACCATTGTGGTTTTTCAATTGAAGTGTTTTTTTTTTCCGGGGCTCGCATTCCGTTTTTTAAAAGGGAAAGACACGGGACTCAAATTGCGATGTTGGCCCCCGAACTACAACAACAACGGCTCCCGCCTGATATTTTCTCGCAGTGTATTCACAGATCGCGCTCTCGCGCGGGACTTCCTGACAATGTATTCAGGAGTCGCGCTCTCGCGTGGGACCTCCTCGCAATTGATTCAGACGCCGCGCCCTCGACATTCAGGGGTCACGCTCCCGGTGTGGATATCCGCACGATTGATTTGGGAATCGAGCTGTCGCTCGAGACTTCCTCGCGATTCATGCAGGACGCACGCTTGAGCAACCCGCCTGCTCGACCTCGTTGCCTGGGCCCTCACGACCCGCCTGGTAGGGTCTACCCGCTCGATCTGCCGTCTGGTTCTTCCACGTGTTTTCTGCTCCTAGTCCGTGCTCCATCCTACCCCCTTCCCCCTGGTCCATCCTTCCATCCGTCTTGTTTTTCCTGCCCCAGGGGCCGCGCGAAATAAACGTTGCAGGTAAGAGAGATATACACCGACGGGGGCACGGTCGAGGACGAAGAAGGTGGGTATCGAGGGTTTTGGATATACGTAATGAGTGGCACGCGGGCAGATAAGACCGAACAGTCTTAATATGATTGTTGTGGTTGTGGTTGTGGTTGTGGTTGTGGTTGTGGTTGTTGTTTTTATTGTTGTTGTTGGTGGTGCTGGTGTTGGTGATGGTGTTGTTGTTGTTGGTGTTGTTGTCGTTGTTGTTGGAAAAGGCGCGAGTGGGAGCCCAGGCCGCCCCCCCCCCCCAGCAACCGAGCAACCGAGCAACCCTCTCTGGGGGTCTCCCGGGGTCGCCAAGGATTCCCTAGTAGGATTTCCTATGAACTCTATAGCTTTCCATAGGAATTCTATCGACTTCCCTGGGACTTCTATAGGCCCCCATCAGAATTCTATGGGCCTCCATCGGAATTCTGCAGGCCACCATGGGAATTCTATAGGCCTCAATCGGAATTCGATGGGCCTCCATACGAATTCTATAGGCTTCCATAGGAATTACATATAAGCCCCCATAGGAATTTCGACGGCCTCCATAGGAATTCTACGGGCCTCCATAGGAATTCCATCGGACTCCGTAGGAATTCTATAGCCCCCCAAAGGAATTCTATAGACCCCCATAGGAATTCCATAGGTTTCCATAGGAATTCTATACGCCCACATAAGAATTTCATAGGCATGCGTCGGAATTCTATATAGGTCCCCATGGGAATTCTATTGGCCTCATTTCCATCGGCCTCCATAGGAGTTCTATAGGCACTCCATACACATTCTATAGGCGTCCATAGGAATTCTATATGCCCCCCATCGGAATGTTATAGGCCTCCATGGGAATCCGATCTAGGCCTCCATCGGAATTCCATAGCCCTCCATACGAATTATATATCGGCCTCCATCGAAATTCTATAGGCCTCCATCGGAACTCGATAAGGCCCACATAGGAATTCTATAGGACTCCTTACGACTTCTATAGGCCCCCCATCGGAATTCTATAGGACCCCATCGGAATTATGCAGACCCCCATGGGAATTCTATAGGCATCCATGGGAATTCGGTGGGCCGCCATAGGAATTCTATAGGCCTCCATGGGAAGTCTATATAAGCCGCCATAGGCCTCCCCAGAAGAATTTTACCGGCCTCCATCGGATTTCTATCGGCCTCCATAGGAATTCTGTAGGCCTCCGTAGGAATTCTATAGCCCCCCACAGGAATTCTATAGGCCTCCATAGGCGTTCTATAGGTCTCCATATGAATTCTATAGGTCCACATGAATATTCTGGAGGCACGCATAAGAATTCTATATAGGTCCCCGTAGGAAT